ATCCCCTTTCTCCTGCTCTTCCGGCCTGCTGCTGTGGGCGGGCCTGAGTTTCCTCTCCTCACCTAATCCCTTCGGCTGATTGCTCTTCTCTCTGGCTTCCTGGCTTTTAATCCCCTTTCTCCTGCTCTTCCCACCTGCTACTTTTGGCGTCCCTGGTTGTCTCTCCTCACCTGTAACCCTGGGGCTGACTGCTCTTAAAAAACAAACAAACAAAAAAAAAACCCTGATACCTAATAGGTAACATCCAAAATGGACCAGTTGCACATAGAGATGTAAAAATCTTATACTAACATATTGGTAAATCAAGTCCAGCAATACTAAAATGAATTCATGTTAGGACCAAGGAAGATTTATTACAGAGTCCCTGGGTGACGCAAATGGTTGACATGCTCAGCTGGCAACCAAAAGACTGGAGGTTTGAATTCACCCAGAGGTACCTCAGAAGAAAGGCCTGGAGATCTACTTTCAGAATATCAGCCATTAGAAACCCTGTGGCACACAGTTCCATTCTGATACACGTGGAATTGCCATGAGTTGGTGAGTCAGCAACTGTTTGAAGATTCTGGAATGCAAGGATAGCTCAATGTTTGGGAATCTATGAATCTACATCAAATTAACAGGCAAAATAGTTTTATCAAGTTAATAGATGCAGTAAAGCATTTAAAAGACCAAGCATTCACTTTTGAATATATATGGCTGCATGGAGACAGAAAAATGTCTGAACAGTTATCTCAGTGTTACACTGATTGTCCCTGTGAGGTAGGAATGAAGAGCATTGGTAAGAGAGAGGCTAACTTTTACTTATTACTTTATGTATATATAAATTGCTTAAACTTTAAAAAGAAATGACGTGTCTGGTTGCCTCCATATACAACTGCCTCCTCTGCTTTGAGACCAGAGAACTAGATAGTGCTCAGCTACCATGATGGAACATTTTGATCCAGGGTTGAATAGAAGAATGCTGATCAAAAGGTGAGCCTCATCCACTGTTCTCACCTCCAGTCCATTCCCCTCCATTCAGGTGGGACTAATGAGGTCTGGAGCCCAGAGAGAATAAGGACCTGCCCAGTAACACACAGGCCAGCAGCAGAGTCAGGAGGGCTAGATGTAGGCCTCTGCTTGTCTGTCTTCCTCCCTAAGGGCCTTTTGGTGCTACCCCTCCCCTCCCTTCCACCCCTGCTGGATGGTTTTCTTGGTAAGCTATACCCTGAGTACTGACCAGATGGCAAGCAGGAAACTTGTGTAGCAACCCTTTTTTGCATCTTGGGGCCCAGCTGTGCAGCAGCCTTGGGTCAGTGATACAAAGTTACAGATAACCATCAGGCCATGTCTGCCCTAGGTAGATCCAATTGCTCCCCAGAGCCCAGCTCTTCAGTTCACACACTGAGCTACCCCATCCAGCAAACCACCCCATTCAGTAACTTTTGTTTCTACAGGTAAGAGCTTAGGGCTCAAACACTGCTGCTCCCCATTAAACTGGGTTCCTGAATATTCCCTTTGTACAAACCCAGGCCCACCCAGCCAGGACCACAACGTGTTTGCCGATTGTTGCTTATTATTTCAAACTTTCACTTTTAAAAATCATGCATGTGATACATGATTACCGCAGAAAAATTAGAAAATAAAACAACCCAAGGGAAGAAGGGAACAATGATTCATAATCCCACCACCCAGAAAAAAACTATAGTGAAACTTGTGAGAGTCAGAACCCAATGGGACTGCCTTGCTTTTCCACCTTTTTCATGGCCTAGCCTTTGAGTCCCCAGACCCACAGGCAACCTTGCTGAACTGGGGTCCTGGGGCAAAGCAGGCCTATGTATTTGTTTCTGCCACTGCCTAGCTTGGAATGGTCTTCTCTGACCAACTCTACTGTCCTTCCCCTCCCCACTCCTCAAGTGCTCACTGGCAGCTACCAGGAACCATGCTCACTGCTACGCAAGGGAAGGCCTGGGCCCAGACGACTGCAGAGATGTCAGAGTCCTGGGTAGCCAGGCACACAAGCCCATCATGAACCCACAGAGCAGCTGTGAGAGAGCAGGGGTGGCAGGAGTTGGAAGGACTTGCAAAGGAGATGACCTTGGAATTGGGTTTTGAAGGAGGCATAGGAGCATACTGGGTAGAGGAGATGAGATGGACATTCAGGCGGTGGGGCAGCCAGTGTAAAGAACTGGAGGTGAGGGACTTTTGAGGCTAGAACAGAAATGGTTGAAGACAAGCAGCCTAGGCTTGGCATCTACAAAAACGGGGTCAGAATAAGGGGAGTTCCTTGCAAGAGGGGATGAATGTAGTAAGACTTAAATGAGGATTTGGGCCAACAACTCTGAAAGATAAGAGGAGACACAAGAATGCCAGAGGCAACAGTTGTGTTACTACAGTTCTGAGAACCATCCTGTGTAAATGGGGAGCCCATCCCATGTATCACTCAAGCTACAGTTCCAAATCTCATTTGTCAAACCCCATTCAGCAATGCTATGAAGATAGGTATCACTATTATCCCCATTTTACAAAGGAAGAAACTGAGACTCCAAAACCAAACCTATCTGACTGTCATTGAGTCGATTATGACTCACAGTGCAACCCTACAGGACAGAGAAGAACTGCCCCACAGGGTTTCCAAGGCTATAAATCTTTATGGAAGCAGACTGCCTCATCTTTCTTCTGTGGAGCAATTGGTGGGTTTAAACTGCTGACCTTTTGGTTAGAAGCCCAATGTGTAAGGTCACAAAACTGGGAAATGGGAACAGAGTCCAGTCTACTGATGCCAAGGCCTGGGGGAGATGCCTCTCTGAAGTGAGGTGCCCCTGCCCACTTCAGACACAAGTTTGAAGAGGCTTGGGTAGGGAGGAACGGCCTGGGGATACTGCCTGTCAGAGCAGAGTGGTCAGGGCACAGTTCTCCTAGGGAGATGGAACAGGCTCTAGATCCAACTTGCCCATTGATCTCCAGGGAAAGTGATCCTGAGACCTTGATGGCTTTTACTGCCACCTGATAGCCTAGGCAGAGGGGCCCAGCCAGGCCTATGGGGGACAAGTTTCCCAGCATTCTGAGTCCTGCCCACTGTCTGGCCTGGGCTCTGAAGCTGCCAGCCCCCTTTATCTTTCCACTCTATGCCCACACCTACAACCTCAAGGAGAGGGGCTGTAGTGAGAAGGGAGGAGACCCCTGGTAGACAGCTCAGCGTGCTGGGCACATTGCAGGCCATGCCTCTAACTTAGGGACCTCCCAGGAGTGGGAAGATGACAGAGCCAGAGGGCCTAGTCTAACAGACAGGGACTCTCCACTGTAGCAGGCCCCGGACACAGTGAAATAGCAAAGAACCCCGAGCCAGTAGACCAGGTCTCTAGTCACTGGCTGTGGGGCTTGGGCCAAGTTGCTAAGCCCTACCTGTAAAATGTGGATAAAGGGATTCTCCTTATAAGGTCACACAAACCAAGACCAAACTCATTGCCACCGAGTTGATTCCAACTCATAGCAACCCCATTGGGTTTCCAAGGCAGTAAATCTTTATGGAAGCAGATTGTCCCATTTTCCTTCTGTGGAGTGGCTTGTGGGTTTGAACCACCAACCTTCTGATTAGCAGTCAAATGCCTTAGGCACTGTGCCACTAGAGTTCCTTATAAGATCACAGTGAGCATTAAATGAAAATGAGCCTCAAATCATCCACACAAAAACTAGCACATAGTTAGAAGATATTCAATTCCTAGCAGAAGGACCTGGGGCTTGGGGTGGAAGTCCTCACCCTCTTCTTCAGCTCCCCTAGTCCAGCCAGCATACCTGGGGCCTTCCTCCACGCTAGTCCCAGCTCCAAAGAGTGAACAGGATGCCATACTTACTTGAGGATGTCTTTCTTATTGAAGAAGCTGCAATCCTGTTGAGGGAAAAACACACACATACAGTCAGTTGCACAGGTCTCAGGCTCCTTCCTTCCTCAGAGCCCTCCACTCCACAGTGTCTCATGGGAACAGCCCTGGCCTGGGGTAGAAGAGTCACTGTTCCCAGCTCTTCTACCCTCCACCTATCTTCTGGGGACAGAAGAGTCTAATGAGTCCAGAAAACATCTCCTGAAGCTCTTTTTTTTTCCTTGTATACAACATAAACACTTTATTGAACAATCGTAGATCATCCTATGGGCCAAGTGGTCACTGAGACATCCAGGGTCAGCAGCAGCTTCAGCAAGGCCTCCAAGCCTCTCGTTCTGACTCCAGCAGGGTGAGGACATCGCCCTCACACACTGGGCCTTTCACAGTATGGATGATGGAACGGCTCGTGTCATCCACGAATTCCACACACACCTGCATGCACTATCCCTGCAAGCCAGTCCTACCCAGCACCTTGGTGACTCTGGCCAGTTTGATGGGTTGCACACGGCTAGTGCCCATGATGGTGGTGGGGCGGTGCAGCAGTAGTCTAGTGGAGAGGATCTCTCCTGAAGTTTTTGATGGTCCTGAGCTGGCCTTGGGGAACTGTGTTTGCAGGGGACTGTACAGCAGGCTGTGGATGCATTTAGGAGGAAGATGGAGTGTTCAGAAGTTGACATGCCTCATGAGGGACCAGTGAGATATCCTGTAGAAAATAGGGGAAGTGGCAGGGAGACAACTCAGGGGACAAATTTAGGAGTGGGGACTGACAGCGCACCATATTTTATAACTACAGAGGGCACCCACCATTCATGGTGTGGGCCCTGGGAATGGTGTCCCATGCAGGGGTCAGTGTGAGTCCCAAGTGGCCACAGGCAGCAGCCCCCAGCTCAGAGGTTCAGAGTTCCAGGCATACAGGCTAGGAAAGCATCAGCAGATACCTGGCATCTGAAGCCGTAGAAATAGATGAGGTCACATGGGAATGGGAATGGAGAGGCCTGGGGTGTGGGAAATGAGGGGAATGAAAAAGGGAGGGAGCCAGAAGAGAGAGAATCAAGTGCTGCAGAGGAGCCAGTAGCATCTGGATTGAGACTGAGGGGATCTCAGATGGGCATTACTCAGGGTGGGGACAGTACTCGGCACCAAGGCCATCCCAAATTCTAAGTTCATCTCCAGGGGTCCTGTCTTTGTCTTGATGACCTGCTTCCTACAGTCACATCACTGTTTGCAGGCTGGCCTGCACTAGGTGAACATCAGCTACCTGGAGTCTGCAATGATGGCTATTACTCCAGGCCTTTGCCCACTGGTGATCATGATGAAAGAAGGTGCCTTAAGTTCTACAAATGGACCGCCAGGGGTGGTGTGCTGACTTGAGCTGGTTCTAAGGAGGGACAAGGAGCCATGGCTAGGTTTCCCTTGGATGATTCCTGAGCCCTTGGGGTGATTGGATTGCACAGTGAGGAAGACCGAAGAGGAGGCCCACAGGATGCACAGACATCTAGGGTTCCCACAGGATACTACAGGTGAGCTGGAGAGGGAGGAGTTGGTCCTATTTAGCCCCACAGGCCCCTAGGTGACACAGATGGTCTGTACTCAACTACTAACCTAAAGGTAGGTGGTATAAACCCCCCAGTGGCACTGCAGAAGGAAGGCATGGGTCACAGGGGACATCAAGCTCAACTGGCATAATATACTACACAAAAACACTGTACTACATTCTACTTTGGTGAGTAGCAACTGGGGTCTTAAAAGCTTGTAAGTGGACATCCAGATGCAATTATGGGTCTCTCCTCATCCAGAGCAATCATCCAGAGCAAAGAGGAATGAAGAAAACCAAAGATATATGGAAACAATTAGTCCAAGGAACTAGTAGACCATGTGATCCTCAGCCTATATGACCATGAGACCAGAAGAACTAGATGGTGCGTGGCTACTGCTGTCAACCACTTGGGGGCGGGGATCAGTGCAGGAGAAGCTGGATAGAGTGAGAGAACAGTGTGGAACAAAACTCAGAATCACAAAAAAAAAAAAAAGGACCAGATTTGCTAGTCTGATAGAGCCTAGCGAGACCCCTGAGATTATGACCCCAAGTTAACCTTCAGGTCTGGAACTGAACTCACTCCTGTAGCGTCCAGCCAAACAATAGTCAGGCGTATGGGGAGAACATTTACATCAGGTAGATACACTCCTCAGAGGGATCAAACAATTGTGAGAGAACAGAAGGGCAGTGATTGCACAGGGAGACAGCTGGGGTGGTGGTGGTGGTGGGAGTGCATGGGAGGGAAGGACACAGGGAAGTAACTATGGGGCGGAAGTGGGAATAGAACTGTTACACTGTGGGAAATTGCAGTCAATGTCATGAAACAAAATGTGTATGAACTGCTGTATGGGAAATTAATTTGCTCTGTAAATGTTCACCCAAATCACAATAAAAATAAAAATTAAAAGAAAAGAAGAAGAAGAAGGAAGACTTGGGGGTCTGCTTCCATAAAGATTACAGTCAAGAAAACCTATGGAGCAGTTCTACTTCATCACATGGGGCTACCATGAGTGAAAATCCAATTGACGGCAACGTTTTTTAGCCCTATCAGTCTGTGCCTCTGAATTACCTGCTGCTCCCTGGAAGGTGGACTAAGGATCCCTACTCTGCCTTGCCCTTCCTGGTAACTTAAAGGCTTCTCTTGGGGGCTCCGTTTTGCTTTCTAGCAACGGCTCTTTTTTATGAGCTAGGAGAGGCTCAGTCCTGAGAAGCAGTGCCCCAACCCCCATCCAGCTAGAAAGAAAACTCCTTACCTAGCAGGTCTAAGACACAGACAGGCTGGGGACTGTGTGGTGATTTCTCACCAGACCCCAGATGTCTGGAGTAAGCTATGAATGTGGGCTTGCGGGACGTTCTAGATACAGACCTTCCCCACCCCAGGGTTGGTCTGCAGCCTGAAGCTGCCAAGTGACCCTTACTAGCCTTATGGGGTCTTTAGCAGAGCTGGGAATGGGCAGGGGCCTTGTCTCCTGTGCTCTTTTCCCCTGACTTGTCCTTTGCCCCTCCTCTCTTGTAGCTCTTAGGTCAGAGAGGAAGTATCTGGGCCCTTCCAAGAGGATTCTACTGGCAACAGAAACAAAAGCATAATCGTAGTCCCTTATTGCAACTGCTTGTATCTCTCTACTTCAGTGGTCCTCAAGGTGTGGTTCCTAGAGCAGCAGCAGCATCTGGAAACTTAGTGTAAATAAGATTCTCAAGCCCCTGTTAACTGTGCCCATCTCAATCCCCTCCAAAGATGTTCATACCTCACAGAGGCTCAGGATACATCCTGGAAAGTTGTTTTTCCTCAACAAAACCTTGCTGTGGGGCAAGCAGCACTGGCCAGGCTCCCTTCCCCACCCCCATCTGTGTCATCCTGTTTCACAGGTGAGAGGGCATGGCATGGTCCACAGTCACCTGCAGAGCCACGGGTAGACTTGAGCCCTCTGGAGGAGCTGACAAATGGATGGTATTTCTTTTCAGACTCCTGACAGAGTCCCCTTTTTAACAGTGCACATTGCATGGCCCCTGACTCTTTGTGGTTAATGGTGCTCCTATGAAGGTCCATCTTGGGATCTGAGCCAGGTCTCAGGGGACTGCGGGCTGTGTGTGAGATGACCTGGGCATAGTGCCTACTGGGACTCGAAGCCCTGCTATCAGGCCAGTTCTCACAACTGGGCCTCCCACCTCTGGGTGTGATGGGAGGTGTGATGAGAGTACTTGTGAATGATGGCATCTCAGCTCCCCATGGGCACTTAGTTGCCTCTTTGGAAGTGATGTGGGGTGGAAAAGGGTTGCATGCCACCTTTCCCATTCTGTGATTCTGTTTTTCATCACCAGTCATTTTAGGCGGAGGTAGTCTGGGGGAGGGGTACTCTGCTGGATCACTGGGTGGGGGAAGGGCTCCCCTGGGAATGTTAAGTCCTCAAAACCCAGCCAACTGGGACCTGTGAGGATGGTGCACCAGGGTAGCAGACTCTGCCATGGTGAAGGCAGCATCAGGGACACCCTGAGTCCTTAATGTCCTCCCCTTGGGAGAGGCTTTGGTTTGAGTCAAAAGTATTGTTTAAAATTAGTATGTTGCCAGTGATTAAAAATGTTCTTGTTAGGTGCCATTGTCTCCAACTCATAGTGACCCTACGCACAGCAGAATGAAATACTACGCGGTCCCGTGCCAGCTCCACGATACTTGCTATACTTGAGCCCATCACCGCTGCCACTGTGTCAATCCATCTCATTGAAGGCCTTCCCCTCTTTTGTTGACCCTCCACCTTACCAAGCATGACATTCTTCTCCAGGGAATGATCCCTTCTCACAACATGACCAAAGTTGGTGAGACAAAGTCTGGCCATTCTAGCTTCCAAGGAGCATTTGGCTACACTTTCTCCAGGACAGATTTGTTAGATCTTTTATCAGTTCGTGGTACTTTCAGCATTCTTCGCCAGCACCACAACTCAAAAGCATCAATTTTCTTCGGTCTTCTTTATTCATCGTCCAGCTCTCACATGCATATGAGGCAATTGAAAATACCATGGCTTGGGTCAGGCGTACCTTAGTCCTCAAGGAGACATCTTTGCTCTTCAGTACTTGAAAGACATCCTTTGCAGCTGACTTGCCCAGTGCTATACATCGTCTGATGTTCTGACTGCTGCTTTCATTGGCATCAATTGTAGAACCAAGCAATGTGAAGTCTTTGACAACTTCAATCTTTTCTCCATTTATCATGATGCTGCTTATAGGTTCAGTTGTGAGAACTTTTGTTTTCTTTATATTGAGATATAATCCATACTGCAGACTGTATTTTTCAATCTTCATCAGTAAGTGCTTCAAGTCATCCTCACTTTCAGCAAGCAAAGTTGTGTTGTCAGCATATAGCAGGTTGTTAATGATTCTTCCTCTAATCCTGATGCTACATTCTTCTTCATATAGTCCAGCTTCTCAGATTATTTGTTCAGCATATAGATCGAATAAGTATGGTAAAAGGATACAACC